GGAGGTTGTTCTTGGTGCATTTTAGTTCAATTTTACATCAACTTTACGGCAAGTTGCCTTCTAGGAGGTTCTTTTGGGGGCTGCTGAGCCGTCCGAAAGTGAACTTGGGAGTTCGATTTCCACCCTGCACCTAGGCCGGTGGGCGGCATGTCCCAGAAAATACCGTGGCCGGACTTAGCTCCAGCAATATGAGCACGGAACTCCTAATCAAGGCCCCAGCATCCTGTGGTGTGGTGACTGCTATCTACAATCTCCGGCTCCATGCTACAAAGGGGGGTCTTGCAGAGGAAAAGTCAGATTCCATACACGCAACAGCTCTGAGGTCGCTTCGTGCGGTTGTTATTGGCACACCAAGTCACTAGTATCACACTGGCAAGTGGCAGTGGCCAATTCCCTGGTGAAAAAATCCCTCGCACAATTCAACCTGCGCAATTCGCCGCGTTCAACGGGTCATTATTGCTTTGCACCTCGGTCATTGTCGGGGACATGCCCTCCGGACAGCCTAGCGTGAAGCCACTTCTCTTTGAGTGTGTCAAGGTCATGAGCAAGGCCATCTATATCACCGCGAAACTCAGCTACCTGCTGCTTGTACATATCAAGCTCGGCTGTCATCGCCTTCATCTGCACATTTTTCTCACGTAGACTCGATTCGTAAAGGGCAAGCTGTTCTGCAACCTCTGGACCAGGTTGTCGCCCAAGGACATTTTTTAGCTCTATGTAGAGTCGTTCCTTCTCTTGGATGCGAGCTTCCTTTTCGAAGACATCCTCGGTCTTCTGGATGATCCTTTTCTGGAGACCCTGGATCTTTTTAATCATCTCAAAACGCTGCGGGTCAGAGGACTCAAGCATACGCCAACGATGCACGTTTAGCGGCCGTTCGAGTTCTTCTTGTAGTGCCTTTATCTTATTTCGTTCCTGAAGGAGATCAGACTCCAGGGCGTGGAGAGTATAGCGGAGGTCGTGAATTGAGCTCATTTGAAGGGCTGAGTCGTCACGTTCCCTGCGCATTTCCTGGATGCGTTCCACCAAGAACTGAACCTCAGCCGCACACTCAGCAAAGCGAGTCTCACCTCGCTGCAACGAAGACCAATTTATCTTCATTTTCTCATAAACGGTAGCTAGCTCATCATTGCGGCGGATAAGTTGGGAACTGAGAATATTGCGCTCCCCAACAATGGCATCATGCTCCTTGTGTTGGCGCTGGCGTTCTTCATCGGCCTCTTGGATGATTTGGGATAGTTTTTGGATCTCAGCACGCTGATTAGAAATGATTTGCTCGCTCGAGACAATTTGCTTTCGGATCTTAGTGAGCTCGTTTTTTAGGGATTCCCGCTCCTTATCAACATTGTGGTGATTGAAGTGCTCTTTGACGAGACTGTGGTCCTTCACCGTTATCTCCTCCTTGAGTTGCTCAATTTGATGATTCATTATTTTAAATCGGCGCTTCATTTCCGCGATCTCCTCTTGTGACTGAATAAGATTCTTTGAATATAGGTTCCGATCACTTCGCACTGCTTCATAAAGATTCTGTTGTTGCTTTAGGCGCGCGCCGCCATCAATAATCTTGCGTTGCAAATCTGAAATTTGCACCTCTTGCAGCTTGAGCTGCTCCAGGGCTACGTAATATTTCCGCGATGCTGCGTTGGCCTCCTGCTCATGTCTCTCGCGATCTTGTACAAGTGACTCAATTTGTTCACGTTGGAGTTTGACCGTCGCTGTGTAGCCATTTACCTCGTTCTGAAGATTCTTTTTCGCATTCTGGTTCACCTTGGTCAAATCAAAGATCAACTGAGCAGTTTTTTCTGAACTTCCAAGCTTGCGGCTCAAAATTTCTCTCTCCCGTGCAAGGTCTTCGAGCTGCTTCTTGAAGCCCTCGCCCTCTCTCCACGCAGACCTTATCTCCAGTGTTGAAAGCTGAGCAATACGTGATCGCAGCTCTTCACGTTCCTGCTCCCAGGTCTCCCGCTGTTTCTCAGCCGCCGCTAGCTTCTTCAAAACTACATCTTTGGCCTTATTAAGCTGAGAAGATTCGCTTTTAAGGGTATTGACGTTCCTTTCGCGTACACTCACATCACGCCGCCGCACTTCGTTTTCATTCTCCGTTGTCTCATTTGAGTACATGAGTGATTCAAGCTGTTCTGTCAAGCGTTGCGTCTCCTGAAACAGTTTCTCGTAGTCTTTGAGGTAGCGCTCCATTTCCTTCTTGGACTCGCGCAATTGTGCCTCTGTTTCGACGATTGATGCTTCCTCAACCCGTGCACGGCTTTCGCGCTCTATCAGCACTGCCACCTGCTCCTCCATATCCAATTGCAGCTTCTGCAGTCTCTGCTCAAGTGCCATTTTGGCACGCTGCTCGAGCGCCGCTTCTTCACGCTTGGCTTCCGCCTGCGTATTGAGTTCTTTAATCCTTGTCGACTCTTTCTCCACATCAAACTCCCCTTGCTCCACTAAGACTTGAAGCTTTGCGATGTCTGAACGTAGGCCTGAAGAAAGGGTATTTTTAGACTCCAGGCTTCGATTCAAATTTTCAATTTTTTCGATGACCTCTTGCTTCTGTTGTTCTTGCTCTTCACTCCAGCCAGATCCACCTTGAAGCTTGAGTTTAAGATCATCAATTGCTCCATACAATTCATTTACACGCGAGCGATTTTGCTTTTCCTGCTCTCGGAGGACTGACATCTTTCGCGCGCCCGCTTCTATTGCCGCTTGAATAGTTTTTTTATGACTAGTTATTTCCTCTAGAGATCGCGTCGTCGACGATGTTGTGTCACGCAGCATAGTAAGTTCTGCGGTCTGCTCGTCGATTTTAGCCTGTGCAGCCGATGCGTTTTGGTTACACGTTTCCAAAACTACCGCCAATTCGTCGTACTCCTTCGTGTAAGGAGCGAATTGGGCCTCGCTGATCCGAGACATGAATGCTTCATCGTCCATTTAAAACTTGTGTCGCGTTAAACTGAGTCGTTCAACGCGGTCGATCAATGATACATATTTCCGTCCACTTGGCCTTTCGTATCTCCCACTAGCCTGAAGCGAAAGGAAGCAAGGTAAACTCCTCCCTCGAAGGGGGGCTGAGCTCAATTCAACTAAGGGTGCCGGAATGAAGGCCGACGGGCCGCGCTTGGATGGCGCAGCCACCTCAGCAGGTGTAAAGGGAATTAGCTAGGCTACGCTTCACTAAAATGGGTAGCCCCAAAGCCGCTGGGATCGTGTAAAGTCGTTGCATATTCGAGGAGCACGGAGCCCTCTAAGGTGGAGACCCCACCATCGGCCGCTGAAATACTCGTGCAGAAAGGCCGCCTCTAGTCCTCTAGACGCTAGGATTTCTTCAAAGTTTGTGTTTCATTCCGGACCAGGGTCACCGGTATCCACTTCAAGTTACGACCCGTGATAGTCCACCCTCGGACGGCAGGGCAGCCCCACTAGGCTGCCCCCTGTCCCGGAGGTCACTATCTCGCTAAGCGACGTGCCAGAGCGCACCAGGCTCAGCGAGGTTGCACAGTCGCCGGACAGTGCACCTGCTGGGTAGTAGTACCAGACATCGGGGATCATCTATCTCAAACTGACAGTATGTAATACAGGACAGCACTGCAGGCTAGTGGTTTTATGACAAGAGACATGACCCAATCGAGGCAATCAACCCTGGTAGTACTCGTAGCTCTTGACTATCTTTTGGACCACAAGGTCTACTCCTCAATCGCAGGCCCATGCATCGATATGAGCATCACCTGCAGGCCTGATAATCACCCAGACGGCTGGACGATGTTCGAGAGGCATGCACAAGCGAACTGAAAATCACGCGAAATACTGAAGGGCCTCTGCCAATACCCCCGGTCTGTCTGGTTTTCGCTGTTTAACTTAGCGCCCAGCGCCTCGACTATCCAGCGCTCCAGCCCTGGCCAGTGGCCGGTGTTACAGCAGACTCATAACTATAATAAAAAACTTACAACTTACATACATTCGCAAATTAGAGCCATGGCTCCCATCTGGGACTTATCCCTGAGGACAGGATGGGGCTTTTCGCTGAATTTATCAAGCTTCTCAGCGACTTTTCAAAGGGGATCCTCAG